GAAGGTAGGTGGGTTAAAGGATCCCTAGTATGTACTCCCTTAAGTTGCAGCTCATTTCGTATGTAGTCCCCCTGAAGTAGATAGAATATGGCTTTGGGTATATTATAACAAGATCCCCATAAACCCCATATGCTATCTACTTAAGGGGGATTATAACCATATCCCACGATAGCACTACGCACATCATCTGCCTCCTCAGATGACAGGCCCATACTTGGATTGGCAAACGCCACGGCTGAAGGTGCAAAAGCTGACAGCCCTAAACCCTAAACAGGTTCATCCCTACATCCTATATATCCCCTATATAACCCTTATATAACCCCTTATGTAAGCCCTTTGGGGGGCGGTTCCCCTAAACCCTAAACCCTAAGCCTCCTTGAACCCCCAGCGCCGACGAGGGCAAACCAACCTCCTAAACCCTAAAACCTAAAACCTAAACCCGAAAACCTTAAACCCTAAACCCTAACACCCAAAAACCCTAAACCCTAAACCCCTAGACCCTACCCATTGCACTGGCTCCAAGGCCGCCGCAGTGCTCAGCAGCCACCCTCATCAGCCTTGTTGGAACTGTATATGGGGTAATATATAGGCTAAATAGAATATGGTGTATATATTTCCAAAGCCAGATTCTATCTACTTAAGGGGGGGGGGGATTATATGTAGACATCATGTAGGGTTAGTACCCCGATAATGGAGAATCCATGTTGGCAAGTGCCACGAAGGGACATGCTGACTATGGGAGCGAGCCTGCAGATGGTCAAGGCTTCAAATTTCGGACCGTCACCTAAACCCTAAACCCTAAACCCTAACACCACCGACGCCTGCTCCAAGGCGCTCATTGCCCCTGGGTCCCATCATGGCGGAAACTCAATCACTTAAGGCAAGGGTTTAGGGTTTAGGGTTTAGGAAACCCCAAACACTAAACCCCGAACCCTTTACCCTCAACCTTGAGAGTTGAACCCTAAGCCCTGAACCCTAAACCCTGAACCTCAATTAGTCCCTGAGCCCTAAATCCTAAACCTTGAACCCTAAACCCTACAGGCTAAACCCTACCTAGACCCTCCAATGTAGTACCTTTTTGGTAGTCCTAATAAGAGTCCTAACCAAAAAACCAAACCAAGCCTAACAAGGAATTACATTCGAGGGTTTAGGCTTGAGGGTTTAGGGAAACCCTAAAACCCTATATAGCCCCTATATAATCCCAATAGAACCCCTAAATAATCCCAAGATAATCCCTATATTACCCTTATATAATCCCTATATAACCCCTATAGAAGCTCTATATAACCCCTATAGAATCTCTAAATAACACCCTAAACCCTAAACCCTAAACCTTAAACCCTAAACCCTAAATCCTAAACCCTAAACCCTAAACCCTAAACCCTAAACCCAATCCTTATCCCTCCATCCCAACCCAGGCTATGGTCCCGTTGCGCGTGGGCGATCCGCCCCCGCCTTCGCTTCCAGAGCGCGCTCCGTGGTTTGCCGCGCAGGAGGGTTTAGGGTTTAGGGTTTAGGGTTTAGGGACCAGGTTTCTTACTGATTTTTTTTGTATTAGATGTATTTTAAGTATATTTAGGGTTTAGGATTTAGGATCTAGGGTTTGTGAATGAATATTCTTTGTATTAGATGTCGTGTACTATCTTAAGGGTTTAGGGTTTAGGGTCCAGGGTTTGTAATTGAATAGGGTTTAGGGTTTAGGGTCCAGGGTTTGTTATCAAATACTCTTCGTATTAGATGCATTTTCATTTTAGGGTAAAGGGTCTAGGACGGCTTAGGGCCTAGGGTTTAGGCATCAGGGCTTGTATATCTCAGACCCAAACAACCAGCAATAAGTTGGTTGTTAGCAAAATGAGCATTTTGTACTTAAGGGCCCTCATTCACGGAAAGTGGCAGTTCGGGACAACTCCTTTCTGGTTGCAACCACAGTCGTCATCGACGCCCGCAGCGCCTCCGCCTCGGCCGCCTCCGCCGCGCCCATGTACACCTCGAACCGCTTCTCGATCTCCGCGTCCACGTCGCACAGCGTCAGCCACACCCCGGGGAACTCCACGTAGCTGATGTTGCCCGACTTGTCCTTGTCGTGGCGCTGGAAGATCTTGGTCGACTCCTCGCGGCTGATCTGGCTCTGTTGGGTTTCCAAGGTATGGTTTTGGTTTCAAGATTTCATTTAGTGTTTAAGGCTTAGGGCTTTCACACGGTTTCGGGTTAAAGCTTGAGGTTCAAGCTTGACTGTAGAGTTTAGGGCTTCAAGTTTAGGGTTCAAGATTCTAAGATTCAACTTCAGGTCTAGGTTCAGGTTCTAAGCTCGACTGTAGCCCTAAGCCCTAAAGCCTAGAGTAGGGCTTATGGCTGGCGTCTAAGGGCTTACTGAGACTGTAGGGAGCCCACCTGCTTCGGCGATGGGCTCTAGGGTTTGGAGTTTCGGGCTTAGGGTTGACTGTTGGGTTTGGGGTTCCAGGCTTAGCGTGTAGGTATCTTGGGCAGTTCTGATTTAGGCTTCTGGGTTGGGGGGTCTGGAATACAGAAGGGATGGGGATTCTCTAGGCTTCAGGGATAGGCACATAAGTAGCGCTTTGCCTTTGAGGGAGCCGGGGAAGAATCCCAAAGGTTGTTTCAAAGCTCAATAGCAACTTGCCAAATAATCCCTACCTAGACCCCAAAAGTACGTAGAATAATGGCCCTTTTGGCTGTTTTAGGGGGTTTGGGCCATTGTTGTACCTGATTTTGGGGTCCAGGTGAACCCTAAACTCTGGCTCCCAAAGAGGGACCCCAACACTTCCTGTTTCATCCCAACATCTGCCCCGAGCCCTGTCTTTAAAAAGCGGCCCGCCTTCAACCAATGTGATCAGACTGTGCAAGGCAGTGGCAGCAGTGGTTTACGTCTAGGAACTCGGAAATGGGGTTTAGCACCTAGAGTCTGGGGTTCCGGAATCTGAGTTTGGGCTCTAGCTGGGCATCATATACTTGGAAAGCCTTGAGGCCATGGCCAAATTATGGCCTGCATCCGCCCTATTTCCTACACTAGGGTGTAGTGTTTAGGGAACTGGTCCTGGGTGAGTCTGCCTGTATCATCATGCATCAGCCACTTGCTAGGTACACTGAGCCTGCAAGCAATCCCCAAACCCGAATCCATGCATCCGAAACCTTGTTTCCATATGAGCTATAGTCTAAACTCCTTCAAGGGGGTTATATAGGGGATTATGTAGGGGACTACTATAGGGGTTATTAAGGGGGATACTAGGAGTTTAGCCCATATTTCTGTAAATAAAAAAACTCAGTCTGCTGCTCTGGAACCTGATGCTGAGTATGACGTATTTGTACCCCAAAACCTAGACCTAAAAGCCCCTCTTGCAGGGTTGCCGTGAAGGAACTTAGATTAACTTACCATAAGAAGGCTGTGTATATATATATATTGAATAATAGGGCTTCCTTGTGATAGTAACTTAACCTATGTATCTGAACAGCACCCAGATTATGGTAAATTTAGGTCAAGTTCCTGAACCCTAAACCCTAAACCCTAAACCCTAAACCCTAATCGGCCCAGAGCTTCCTGTTTCGAAAGGAGCAGTGGCAGCTTCTCAACGACCCTGGCGCTCCAGTTGACAAGGCCTAAACTATAAGGGGACTTAGCAAGAAGATGATTGCGGATCCGCTAACGGGGTTATAGGGATATGTAGAGTTAATGTAGAGATCTGTTTGGATTTTTAGCGATTTATACGGATGAGGGTTTAGGAGACTTTGTAAGTAGCTTATATGCGTATAGGCTTGTAATCACACTCACCCCAGAAGGGGATGTAAAAGGTCCGTTTTCTAACCGGCTTGATCAGTCCACGGAGCCTTGAAGTATACACTAGGCATTCATTCATTCATTCATTCCTTCATTCCTTCCTTCCTTCATTCCTTCCTTCCTTCATTCCTTCCTTCCTTCATTCCTTCCTTCAGTCATTCATTGATCCATTGATTGATTGATGGATTCATTCATTCATTCATTCATTCATTCATTCATTCATTCATTCGTTCTGCTTGTCTGCTTGCAGAACCCTAAACCCTGAAGCATGGACTCCCAACTATGTGGCTCGGGCTGCCAATGATGTTGGTTTAGGGTTTAGGGTTTAGGGTTTAGGGCTTAGGGTTTAGGGTTTAGGGTTTAGGGCTTAGGGCTTAGGGTGTGCCATAGTGCCACGGCTCGACCCACCCATGGAGTGGTCGTGGGTCGAGCCGTCCTCGTG